TGAGTTGAGTTGAGTTGAGTTGAGTTGCGTTGAGTTGAGTTGAGTTGAGTTGAGTTGAGTTGAGTTGAGTTGAGTTGAGTTGAGTTGAGTTGAGTTGAGTTGAGTACTCAACTCAACTCAACTCAACTCAACTCAACTCAACTCAACTCAATTTGATCAACTGGAAATCGCTCATCCCAGTGCATTGTTATGTAATCTTGTGTAATGTAGATAGAAACAGCTAACTGTCAAGATTATGAATGAATCAAGAGAAGTTTTACTTCCGTAGCGCGGTACAGGCGGACCTATTCTTTTTGGGATTTATTTATATAATAAGGGTAGACATACTTATGTAGATCATCTGAACCGGTGCCCAGTTTCGCGAGGTGCATTGCAATTGCCACTAAAATCCTGCTTTTCTTATACTGCATGAGAATACCCTTTCACTAATCTGGTTACAGATATAAAATTCAATCTTTAAAAATCATGCTACAAATGAAGTCCCTAAAAGTGTTTTGCAGGAAGTAAATTTCAATTTCCCTTCAATTTATTTGGATGTTACGTTAAATTTCTCTTATGCTTGTCCTGTCCAACAGCACACAATAGTTCTTCAATGAAAGCAATTTTCGTACAACAATTCAATCAACTATCTATTAGGTACTCATAAAAAAAATCGTGTAACGAACGCAGTACAAAATTCAGCAATATTCATAAATGTACATACATACATGGTATGAATGCGAATAATTTTCTATATGTGCCATACAAATACAAACACATTCACAGACTATTCTTCACTCAGATATATATACCTTTAATCGCTTCGTTGACAATGTACTCACTCTACAAAGCACTTTATTGCTCACTTCATTCTCTACTAAATAAGAATCACGCTTGAATTGTTGCTATCATTTCAAAATCAATTTGACTCTTCTTCATTTTACCTGCATCTTTTCAAACCAGTTTCTGCTGATTGCACAATTTGCGTAAGAGAATATTGAATTTATTTTTTTACACGCTTTTTCATCATTTAGTGTACTTGTGAGAGGAGAAATATTGAGGTTGTTGAGATCGCATTGAGCATATATAGTTTTTAATACAAGGTTTACCCGATTTAAAGGTGCAGTATCTTGTTGAAGAATACCACAAATAAAGTATTTACGTGTACTGAATTATGTAAATTTCTGGCCAATAAATTCAGTCTCATTTATACAAATTTTAAAAATTTTGAAGAAAAATGTTTTTTGTATCTTATTTTTCGTTGTCTACCCAAGGGTGTTGAGTTTGCGCATCTTTCACTGGAGTGACATCATTCCAGCGTAAAGCCTGTCCTAGTCAGTGTCGCTATATTTTTATGCGCTTGCAATCCATATTCTTCGCCACCTGTTGCCGTCACGAACTGGGATATAGATCTTTCATTTAATAGCGCTCTCGGAAGCTCCCTTCTGATCTTTGCTCGACAACGTCCATGTACCAGCGTACATTACCTACATCACTATTATCTTTCTTTTCAATAAAACCGTTTAATATAAATCTTCTTTTTTTTTACTTAAGTAAGTAAGGGTCGTCAAAGTTTAGGAGGCCAATTAAAGAAGGCAATTTTTGTATTTTCTTAAATTTACCTTTTTTCGTTGGCTTGAATTTTTTTATGCTGCGGGTCACAAACCTAGCGCACAACCCATTGTTTAACCGAGTACACGTACATGTAGTTAGTCGCTTGTTCCAAACAAGCCCTCGCACCTACTTGAGAACTCACGCTGTTGACTTCAGTTAGCCTTTAACCGAATAAGTCGGAGTGACCCCACGGAAGCTCCTTCTCTTTTTGCCTCAACCCAAGACTGCACTCGGATTTGTTACCGCATCTCGTACATGGGTTTCTCTGCTGCTGTAAGATTTCCAAATTCTGACATTCACCGATTAAGTACAATTGATAAGATTTGACGATATTTTTCTTCAATGATGTTCTTTTTAGACAAAGTCATTACAGCGCCGCATAAGAAGAAGAAGATAGTGCCTTTGGCCACCAAGGTTAGGAGCTTATCAAAGGGATATAAAACATCTTCTGGGTCGCGGTGTCTCTTGTTTATGTAGCACCAATTTAATAAATAATAATAATAATAATAATAATAGATTTAGGCTTTGAGGGTGTTTCCATGATGTCGGGCGTAAATAAATCATACGAAAACGGAAGTCGCTGTTAAAAAAAAAAATGCCTTTGTGTAGCTTTAACACCGTCCTTTGGCTGACAAACAATTTTCGTGCGCTTGGTACACTTTTGTAATGAAAATTATTTAAAGCGGGTCCAAACGGACGTGATAAAAAAAGAAATGGTTACAGAATATATTTAAAAATAAGCAAAATTCTGCGAACCCTGTAAGGTTTACCTTTCTTAAACATCCTTTAAATAAAGAAAAATTATGGATCATTGCTAACAATTCATTTTTAATTTGTTTAATTTTGATTTAAAATGTGATAACTTACATGACAAATTTTTCTCCGTGCAATATTTTTACTAGTAATACACACATAATTTAATTTTTTCAGTTCTCCTCTCTACGGTTTCGCATTTCTATAACCTTTTTTCACCATCTGAATACGAAGTATAAGTTACAAAGCCGTTTGAACTAATCTACTTGCTTTTTCGGTTTACATATTTATGGAAATACCCATATGTTACTGTTTGGCCGAGCTTCTCCTCGGATCTGTGGTGTGCATCTTGATGTTGTCACACAAAGCGGAGGGACCTACAGTTTTACGCCGTCACCGAATGGCGGTTGTCTTTTTATGATAATCTGTTCATGGCAAAAATACACTCGGAGGTTTGCCATTGTCTGCCGATGGGCGACCACTATTAGAAAAAAATGTTTTCTTTTAATTTTTTGGTGTTGTTCGGGCACTTGGTTCGAACTCAGGCCCTGCGGAACGGTTGCGCGCACTGCAAACCACTTCATTACAGCGACCGCCCACCAATTCAATTATCTACCTTAACTCTTTTCAAAATCCAATCAATCAATTAACACAACAACAAATTATACAAATAATTTCTAATTTTATTTTTGAGCGACATTTTTTATTCGAACAAGGGAAATAATAACTTTTCATTTTCTTTATGCCACCAAATTCTACTCCTATTCCATTTCAACTGGAAACAATTAACCAATACCTCCGATATTCCTCAATGGCTTACAAGCTCAATTTTATTTGATTTCCACTTTAATCCATTTAAAATTATACTCCACTAAGCGCCTATGCAAAATCCCCACAATTCCACTGACTTCTCTTTCATTTAACCTAAGGGTTTAAAAGCACTTAAGGTCTATATGTATAAATGTACAATCAACTCGCCACTTGCCGGCGTGCAAAAACTTTTAACAAAACTTTCCTCCGCTCTTAGCACTAAGCGCAAATACAAAAGTCCTCGCCATCAACTCAACAAATTCTCTGAATTTTCTTTGCAGGACAAAACAGCGGAACACCAACAAGAGGATGCGTTTAATCGCGAAAGCAGCGAAGAAGATCAGGATGACGCCTTCCATCGTTGGCTCACGTCCACCGAAACGAACAACAACAACAACAACAACAAACACAATACTACCAGCAGCAGCGATACAAATAACAATTCCATGGAGGACAGTGCGACACCAGCACGTCGCAAAAATTTGTTTGGTTTCGCTGAGGCGCAAAATAATAATGCAACCATAGCAACAAAAACATTGAATTGTACTAATCCACAGAGGGGAGGCAACAGGAGCAACAGCAGCAACAGTAACAGCAGAAACAATAACAATAGCACAATTGACAACGTGTATTTTCGCAGTTCCTACAATGACTACAGCAGCGAATACAATGGCAGTGTGGTGAATATCGATATACTGCTCACCACGGCGGATGAGCAACAACAGCAGCAGAAGGCGGATTTAATTACGCAGCCAAGCAGTAATTCACAACAGACGACAGGCACAGGAGCAGCAGCAGCAGTGGTAGCAGCTAGCAACATCTCCGGCTTAGAGGTGACTACAAATACAACAACGCTTCCCATTGCCAGCGTGCAAACGAGCAGTCCAGAGCGACAATGCAATGTTATGGGTAAGTCAAGTCATACTTTTTGCTAGCATTGCAAATGGACCATTGGAATTCAATGCAATTTTGTTTGATATTTGAGCTTACAAATGTTTATATGGAAGTGTGTATGTGCATGTGCCTGTGGGTAAGTGTGTGCGTATTGGTGTGAGTGAATTCTCGCAACGATGGCGCTTATCAAGCGCTGCTGTCGATGCGTTCAATTTATGTTCGCTTTGTTGCTGCTCTAATCGACTATTGGTTTCAACTAAATGAAGCACGTTTGAGTTTTAATTATCGTGTGGCGCAATGTCCAGCAATTGATTTGGATTGTGCTTTGAAGGTATGCTGAGACTCTTGTGTAATTTTCTTTAACAGTCCTTGAAATCCTAACAAATCTTTGTTAAACAGTTGCATTCAATTAAAATGTGTAAGACGGTGAACAATTTTATTTTCAATGTAAAAGCTTGAGTTCAGCATGAAGGTGAATGAAGTAGCATTGGTTCTATATAAATTAGGAAAAAAAACCCTTTTGAATACAAATATGTTGACCTTCGCTTGCAAATTATCCATCCATCCAACCCTAAAACCATCTTTAAGGTTGCTTAGCTTGCGTGGCTATTTCTTTGTATAACGGAAGACCCCTGTCTAAATTGGTTAAGGGATAAAGACTATATATCGGCGTAATTAAAAATGTCCTTATCTTTTTCGCAAAAAAATGTATGGCGGATAAATACATTTGCCAAAAGTGCTCAACCTCATGCTACACTGAGGGAAATAATGCATAGTAAAAATGTATACTGTAAATTTAAAAAATGTGCATATTTAAAAAAAAATATTGTATATCAAAATTTAGCACGCACGTATTCGAATGTCCATGCATATGTAAGTGTACATAGCCAGTGGGAAAATGGGAATGCATTACCTTTTTCTCAAGAAAAGATTAACAACTACGGTTGAACAAAAAGACTCGATGTAAGCGAATGGATAATGTGTAGTTTTGAAGCCACAAACAAAACAACAAGTTGGAAAATTAACTCAAGTATTTTTTTTTCACGTTATCTCAACAGCTGCTGTAGCCGAATAGATGCGTGTTCGACTGCCGTGTTGCTAGTCACGGGTTCAAAAACTATGGCACGGAAGGCTATAATTTTTTCTTTTGATTTCTTATTCTATTTGTAGATTATATTTATAGTTTCGTAAATCGACATGCGACACAATACTTTCGCATGACATCGCTGTGGAGAAATTCTTGCATCTTTTCGTGCGTAGGTTATAGGGGCTTTCCATTACTTTTTGCATTCCCAGACATAACCTTTTCCCACTGGGTTTGAAAGTGCATTTACATGCTTGCCCCAATTTGTCGATTTCCAGGGGGTCAAGGTTCGAATTGCATTGCAGGAAATATGCAAATCAAATACATATTTTTTTATCTTGATTATTCACTTCATGGATGCTTTTTCAAAACGATCGCTTCATTTTAATATGCGCGTAGTTGAATTGAATATGTATCACTATACAGCATTTTTGTCGACGTTTTTGATTGATTTTACTATTTTTTTTTGTCAGTGTAGGAGGATAGTTTTATTAAGCTTTCATCACAAAGCGGGTAAAGAAAATTTAATATTAGTATACATCGGGGATGTTGCGAATATCTGCATTCGCATTCGTTCGAATGATTCGCATCATTTCACACATTTTCTTCGACATTCGCAGTAGCATCAAATGATACGAACAGGGACCGTAACTGTTACAACTTTTATTAAAAAATCGTTCTTTAACAATTATTTTTTAACTTTTATTTAATTACTCCCTAAATAACCGTTATTTCTGACTTTTATTTTATAAATCCACAATAACAATTATTTTTGGTTTTCATCTAATAAAACAGTTATTTTTGATTTTTAAATTATATGTCTTACGTAACAGTTATCGACGGCTTTTTTTTTGTAAAAGTCATGAATAAAAATCAGTCACTGACCTTTATTTTTTAAATCATGCATATAAAAGTCATTTGTATAAGTCGTAGTAAACTCTTGTTTCCCAAAAACCTTCTTAACTGCGAAAAATGTTAATGACTTTTATACGAATTATTTAAAAATAAATTTCGGTGACTGATTTATATTGATGACTTTTGAAAGTAAAAGTGACTGACGGATCTAAATTGGTGACTTTTAAAAATAAAAGTCTTCAATAACTGTTATCAAAGACATAATAAAAAATCAAAAATAATTATTAGTTTTTTAATTCTGAATAAAAATTGCAAATAAAAATTTATTTTTAAATACGAGTCTTGGTGAAAAAAGGAATCGATTGGTATGTATAACTTAGTTGTAGAACATTTCATTCATAGTGAATTTTTCCATGACAGTTTTAATCAATAAACAAAAAATGTATTGCAAAGACGCACACGCATACATACAACATATTTACTTGCAATTTATGTATACATAGCTACGTTAGAGTGAAGATTTGCTAAGCCAATTTTTACAAAATTTACAGGAGAGGAAAAACTTTGAATACAAAATTTGGGTGCTCAAAGCTAAGCAAAAATTCCATTCGAGTCAGAAGGATTCGATGTTAATTAAGACATTTGGGATCATTTTAGTCTTATCGAATTCTATGTGCCTATTTTGGACGTAACAAATTTGCCTTTCAATGTATATAAATAGAAAAAAAATGTAACAGGTACCTGAATTCTTTTTGGAAACAATACGTTTTAAATTTCTCTTGCTTCTTATAGTATCGAAATATGAGTTTTCACAAAAAGTGGACTTAGGAAATTTTCACCCTAAGCTAGTTGATATAGTATGCATATGTGTATGTACAAATATTTCGGCTATAACTTAGACGAAACGTGAAAGTACCAAACAAATGGCAAGCAAACTTCAGCGGTTTGACACAGAAAAACAGGGAAACACTCAAAGTGCAAACATCTGCGACCTTGAGCTACATACAATGGAACAAATGTTGGCCGTAACCTTATTAGGTACACCGGTGCATTGGCGAAAAGTTGGCTTGCTTTGATTCCATTTTTTCTGTGCTTTATTTGTGCGCACACTTTAAATTCACAGCGCCATAATTAACACCATTTGGTGCTCTTTTGACGGAAAATAGTATTTCAACAAAAAGAAAGGGTCGTTTCAGAAAGCCACTTATTTTCGAATACGCTTTTTGCTCACTCTCGGTTTCTTAACTAATCAAAATTTTAAGTAAATCAAAATTACACCTTACTAAAGGTCAAAAACAGCTTTAACGTAACGCACTAATGAAAGAGAATTTTTGAACTTCTTAAAAAAATTATAAAATGAATATTGGTCAAGCATTAAACACAGGAATGATACAAGCTTGGCACCAACACCGAAGGGGTTGATTAAAAAAATGTTATGTTATGTTATTTAAATGCTGTTTTTATTGCGATATTTGCATATTCGGGCGGCAGGGCCTACGTTCAAGTCCTGTTCAACGCAACTTCAAAAAAATAAAAAAATAAAGTATGCTTTTTTCTAATAGTGGTTGCCCCTCGGCAGGCAATGGCAAACCTCTGAGTGTCTGAGTGTATTCTGCCATGAAAAACAGTTTCTCATAAAAATACAATCGCCGTTCGGAGTCGGCGTAAAACTGACGGTACTTCCCCTTTGTGTAACAACATCAAGGCGCACGCCACAAATCGGAGAAGAAGCTCGGCCAAACAATAATATATATGTAAGCGGCAATCTATTTTATAATAACAATAATATAATACTTTAGGGGTCGCCAAAACACTCAAAGTTTTCCATGTATTTTATATGGGGAAAAAACGAGTTTTCGTAGAAACGGTAAAAAATTCTTGAAAATGCACATTTCTTGATCGGAAAACTTTATTTATCTTTTTGATATTTTCAGTAATAGTACCAAATTATTTATTTAACCATTTTCTATTACTAACTATTTCTTATAAGACCCCTAAACCCTCAAAAAATGGGGACCCATAAAAAATCGCTTGTATTTAAAAATGGTAAAATAATCAACTGAGTATTATTATTGGCAGTCTCATAAAGAGAAGCAAAGTTTTCCGTTTAAAAAATATAGATTCTCATTCCTATGAAAACTTGTTTTTTCCCCATATAAAATACGTGGAAAACTTTGAGCGTTTTGAACGACCTCTAAATATTTTTTGGTTTAACAAAAAACAGGGGTATAATTTTTTTCGGCATAATTCATTTTATTTAACCTTGCTTACAAACAGTACGCTTTCTTATAACTACATTTGACTTTACATATTTGAGAATTACATAATTATTCAAGTATATTCTGAAAGTTAAAGTACTTAAAAAACTATTTAGAAAATTACAGCAGTTAACGCAATTTATTCATTTAATCTGTAGGCTCTGAATCGCAAAGGTAAACCATCCTGACTGTTAATTGATCGGTCTGTTGGATTATATAAATTAAGTTGCTTTCTAACTATTTTAGAAATGGTCCTAGATAGTAGTCTCTAAAGGAGTAATAAATTGAGCAATTGAAGAGCACATGCTAGAGACTTTCCATTTGGTATTTAGTATTTTATTGTCAGTTTTCTACAGATTTTACTTAAATTTTATTAATTAGTTTAAGAGAAAAGCAAAACAGGCACGCAAGTCTTCGTCGGTTAATTTATTATATATCTTCTGTAACCATAGGCTGATTTCCTCCTTCCTTTATACTCTCCCTTTTGTCCACCATAAGCTCTCAGACTCAGAAATCGAATAAATTCGGAACAGGTGACTAGGGCGGCCATTTATTCAACCAACCCTATACAGTTTTTTCTTTTTTTTTAATTTTTTTTTTTTATACAAAGTTTAAGAAAAAATACACCTAAAAAAGACTTGCATGCCGCATGTACTTATCTCACAAGCTTTACACTGCTGGCAAATGCAAATTAGGATTAAAATTTTCAAACTAATTAGTAAAATTAAAGTAAAATATGTAAAAAATTAAAAATTTAATACATTTTTCGAAAAATCTATAAAATACCCTTTTATATAAAAAAAACCTGTGCGACAATT